TGGGGGAGGAAGGAAGAAGTGGCAAGCTTGCCACATGCCCCTGCAGACCCCGACTCTCTCTTCCAGGGAGGTGGGAGCTGGCAGGCTTCGAGCTGTGGCAGTAGCGTGGAGAATGCCCTAGGAAGGCGCGAGGGTGGGGCAGCAGCCCAGCAGGACCAGTGGGATGGTGGCACCTGGGTGCCCTGTGAAGACGGAGGGGACAGGACCTCAGCCTCTGCAGGTAGAGATGAGGGCCCGTCACCAGAGGTGCTCTGGGTCCTGATGACGTCTGCAGGTTGGGGTAACGTCTCTGTTTGAGCATCCTGGGAGGTCCATCAGTGGGGATCCCGGGGGTGACCACAGACCTGCAGAGGGAATGAAGGGGCGGCCAGGTGGGGGCAGGCTTCCGTAGCCGCAGAGGCCCCCTGGGATGTGCCCTCGTGGGGTGGGGTGGGAGCTTTATTGTCAGAAGTAGTTTTGCCAGGTGGAAGCTCCTGACGCTGGTGTCTCCTGGGGGTTGTATCCTGGGGGTGTCTTCTGTGGGCCCCACCCTTCCCTCCAGTGTTTCCACTTTTCCTGTGTTGTTTAGGGTTACAGTTTCAAGTGATTCTGTGTCTTTGAAGGGCCTCTTTTTATTTTTTTTAAATGTTTTATTGTGAATTATATGATAGTTTACATGGGAGAACATTAGTTTTACATTCATCCTATCCTAACTTTTCATTGCTATGGTTACAATCCCCTCTATGCATCATCAACCAACCAAAGGGTATACACTACAAGCCTGCCCCCCAGTCATCAGCACACAGCCCCTCTCCCTCTCTCCGTCTAAAGTCCCCAGCTGCTCCATCTCTCCATGCCATCACCTCTGCCTCCATCTCTGGGGTCACTGCTTCTCTGGATAGGGTCCCGCTCTCCACTCTTCTCCCTTGATGGTCCCAAGGACCTCCACTCCTAGACTGCAAAGTCAACCACTCCCCTTGTTTTGCTACAAAGCATCTACCTTTACATTTCCAATCCTCACAGTCAGTCCTGATAACCATTACTCACTATTGTATCACAAGAGACCTATCTGCACTCTGAAGGGCCTCTTTAGGAATTGAAGACCACCATAGACACATCTTTTATGAGGACTGCTAGGGTCTGTACGTTCCCTGGTGTCCCCACTCGGAGGTCCTTCAAATGAACTCATGACTGAATACCCACCTTGCAGATGCCGTCCTGCCGGGGTCCTCAGGGGGGTTGCAGCACCTCCGGGAATGGCCTGTTTGTTCACAGCATATCTTCTGCCTCCCTTTGGAAGGGGGCACTGAGCGGGGTTTTGTCAGATGGACCTGGGTCTGGAGGGTGGGAGGAGGTGTGGGCTGCACAGAGAGGGAACCAGGACATGGCCTTCCTTGACCACCCGCCCTGTCCCCCGGGGGTTTGTGCCCCCTGTTCTTACACTTGTTCGGACTGCGAGTTGTGGCCCAGGACCAGCTGCTGTCGCTACTTGCTTTGCTCTCTCTGCAGTTTCCTTGACACCCTCTGTCTCCAGACCGCACACATTTACCAAGATTCCCTGCGGGCTGGGATAGGAGGCCAGGGGGACAGGAAGCTCAAGGGGGACGGGGTCTGGTTGGGATCCCTCTTTACTTCTGGTGTCTGTAGAACCTCTGAGTTTTGGGTGAAGCCTGGCTGCTCTGTGTAATCTTTGGGGAGAGGCCAGCTTGGGAGGGTATCCCTGTAGCTCTGTTTCTCTCCAAGTTGGGGTGCCTGTCACCATGGTTCCCAGTGTCCCTAGTTCCAGTGGTGATTGGAAGCTGCTTAGTTATGCGGCCCCACCCAGCTCTGCCCTTCTTTCCCTTTTGTTGTTGTTAATGTTAGGTGCCATTGAGTAGGTACCGACTCATAGCGACCCTGTGCACAACAGACGAAACATTGCCCGATCCTGGGCCAACCTCACTATTGTTGCCATGCTTGAGTCCATCGATGCTGCCACTTGGCCAATCCATCTCGCTGGGGGTCTTCCTCTTTTTCTCTGACCCTCTACCTTGTTGTTGTTAAGTGCTGTTGAGTCAGTTCTGACCCATATCGACCCTGAACAGGGTTTCCAAGGCTGTAAATCTTTACGGGAGCAGAAAGCCTCATCTTTCTCCCACGGAGCGGCTGGTAGTTTTGAACTGCTGGCCTTAAGGTTCGCAGCCCGATTCGTAACCACTACGCTACCAGAGATCCTCTACCTTACCAAACATGATATCCTTCTCCAGTGACTGGTCCCTCATGACAATATGTCTGAAGTATGAGAGACGAAGTTTGGCCATCCTGGCCTCCAAGGAGCACTCTGGCTGCACTTCTTCCAACACGGATCTGTTTGTTCTTTTGGCAGCCCATGGCACTTTCAATAGTCTCCTCCAGCACTAAAGGCAAACCCTATGGAGTCCTGGTGTGGTACTGTGGGTTAATACGCTGGACTGCAAGGTTGGTTTGAACCTCAAGGTCAGTGGTTCAGGCTCACCAGTCGCTCCTCGGAAACCCTATACAGGGTCATCATGGGCCTGAAGTGACTCTACAGCACTCAACAACATCAATTCCAGCATGCCAACTGCGTCGCTCTAGGATGAGCACTTGACCTCAAGGTCGGTGGTTCAAACTCACCAACTACTCCTCAGAAACCCTATATCCAGATAGGGTCTTTGTAAGTTGGAACCAACTTGACAACACCTACAAGGAGCCATATGCTAAGCACTGGACTGGTCTGCAGTTGAAACCCACCAGCCACTCTCGGAGACCCTTACAAGGTCCCCTGTGAGTCAGAACTGACTTGAAGCACCGCAGCCATGACAAGAGCGTTTCTGGAGTCCTAGTGGTACCACACTTAGGTGCTGACAACCTGCTTGTGTTGCAGGAGAGAAGACTTGGAGCTCCGCGCCCCTCAACAGCATGGGAACCCTACGGGGAACGGTCAAGATGCCGCTTCTGATGACCCCATGCACACACCACCACCAGCCTGACGGCTTAGAACTGAATTCCCTTTTTAGCAGTTGTATTTGAAATGCAGTATGGGTAGTGTGAAGTGTTTCAAGTGCACGATTCCATGGTTTCAGTGTATTTGCAGAGCTGTGCAGCAATCACCCAGTCTCATCTGAGACCGTTTCCATCGTCTCCTTAGCAGCCCCCCTCCCCAGCCCCTGGCAACCACCGCTTTACCCTCTGTCTCTGTGGGTTCTGAGTGAGAGCATTTTATGGGGGGGAGGTCATGTTAGGCGTGCCCTGGCTCCTCTCCGTCGCCCCCTGGTGTTAGGGGTCTTTGTGTCTGGTTTCTCTCACTCACACTATGCACCTTGCAGCCTTTACCTGACCTCATTGATTTTTCCGGCTGAGTCAGAGTCTGTTGTCTACATGGCTCACATTTCATTTACCCATCATCTGTTGATGGGCTCTGGGGTACTTTGTGCTTAGTGCCACTGTGAATACCCGTGGACTCAGGTCTGTATGGACATACGTTTTCAAGTCTCTTGAGTACATACTAAGAGTGAAATTACTCGGTCATTTGGTGACTGTGTTTACCGTTTTGAGGAACTGGCTGACGGTGGCAGTCTGGTGGAGCCATCTGACATCCCACCAGCAGTGCCTGAGGGCCGTGGGGTGTCCAGTAGTGTAGGAGGGCTCCGATCTCGCTCCTCTTCTTTCTGGTGTCCGTGTGGGTGTGGTTTGATGTGCGTTTCCTTAGTGACTCGACCTGCTGCCCATTCTCTGCGGGTCCTCTGCTACTTTGTATGGTTTAGAACCCCACTTGTTGTTTTATTCTGCTTTCCTCTGGTTGTGTGTGAGGATGAGATGGGGAGGCCTGGTGTGTGGAGGACCAGGGGCTGGACAGGGTGGGGCTGCATGGAGCTGGCCTTGCCATGTGTGCACTCTGAGCTGGGTGGGGCTGACCATCCCCTTCTTGGGCACTGATAAATGCATACACTGTCCTTGGTCCTTCCTTCTGTGGTCTTCAGGGCTCTTGCTCCACGTCCAAGTTCTCTGCCTTTAGTACTTTGTACACAATTCTATCTTCAGGACACTTGGAGAAGTCAACTAGAGACTTTCACAGGCTTTGGACAAGATCCATAGGCCAAAAACTGGTCAGATGTCCTCAGCTTTGTAGGTCGAGTAGCAAGAAGAGTGCAGGGTTAAGAGAAAGAGATGGGGAGAGAAAGAGAGAGCGAGAGCACTCTGCCAGAGCATTCACTGATGTCTGGAGCCAGAGCACACACCCAGGGAGACTTATCTTTTAACTGATTGGATGATCACATCACATCCCTTCAGGGAAGGAGATTACATTGTCACATCATGTCTCATCCTACCCCATCAACCTACCACGTCAGCCCATCATGTGAGCCCATTAAGTTAACCCACCAAATTAGTCTCCACCACGTCAACCCATTGTGCCAGCCTGTACACCATCCCACTTCGCCAACCCACCGCGTCAGCCTATTACCCCATCCCGTCAACCCACACGCCATCCTATCATGTCAGTCCATGCCATCGTCAGCCCCTGACTTCATCCCATGATGCCATCCCATCCCATCCCAATCACTGCATGATACCTCTACATCTCACCATTCACCTACCTGGGCCAGGATCTGGCCCAACCAGAGAGAGAATCATAGTCTAGACAAGCTGACGTATAAAATTAACCATCACTATTGGGAAAGAGCGGGAGAAAGATGAGGCTTTCTGCTTCCGTAAAGATTTACAGCCTTGGAAGCCCTATAGAGGGTCGCTATGAGTCGGAACCGACTCCACAGCACCTCACCACCACCACCACTGCATGGGTAGGGTGCCTGACCTGGCTGGGGAATCTCTGCTGCCCCATGACCTCCGTGGCTCCTGACCTGCTACCTGGGTCTGTCTGTAACAAATCTGCTGCTGCAGCATTGAAGCCCCATCACGCCGCAGTCTCACTCCCCACGGCCAGCTTGTGGAGGGTTTGCTCACGGTAGCTTCTGCTTATAGCTTTTCCTCGGTCTAACATTTTGTTTTCTCTTTCCTTTCAGCCAGAAAACCTGCAGAAGAACTGGCTTCGGGAGTTTTATCAGGTAGGAAATGCTCTGTGTAGTCTGTGGACTTCCTAATTCATGACTCTCCGCTGTGTTTCCCGGATGTGGTGTCTTGTTCTCAACCTGGTCTGGGAACCATTGTGCCAAGGCCTGGGGTGAGGTGGTGTTTGTGGGCCTGCACAGTGCTCTGGAACAGTGCCAGCCAGGCTGAGCGCACAGGGCAGTGTGGACACTGGAAGACCCAGTAGGATGAGTGGCTTCAGCAAAAGGGTTCTAAGCCCTCTGGAGACTCCACGTCAGTGAGTGTTTGAAGATTCAGGACGTGCCAGACTGGGGGTTGGCTGTGTGCATTGTCTGACTGGTGTGTGTATGCAAACGTGAGGACACACAGAGGTCAGTAGTAGGGGAGGGTCTCAAGTCCAGGCCAGAGGTCTCATGAGAGTCACAGGGCTGCATGGTGGGTGGCCTGCTGAGGGGCCTGAGAACCAGGCCAGTGTCCGTGGTGGAGTGCCCGGGCCATGTGTCCAGGACCGTGTGAGTCACAGGCTTGGGGTGTCTGGTGGGACAGGAAGGAGCAGGGAGATGGCTGGGAGATTGGCTGGTTGACCGGTGAGTGGGCAGAAGCCGCCTGCCCTATCCTACTGCGGATCTGGGGTGCAGGTGCCTGAGTTAGAAGGCAGGGGGCAGGGAATATGTGTGCTCATGTGTATGTGTGTGTATGTGCATGTAGATTTGGGGGTTCCTCGTCCTCGCTGTCCTGGCACCTTGGTCCCCTGGCTTCTGTGTCCTGGGTGGTACACTGTGGTACCAAGGACAGTGTATGAAACACAATAAAAAAATTCAGCTCCGTTCTCAGCAGCCACAGTGGTGTTCTCAGTAGCCACACGTGGCTGGTGCTGCCGTGTTATCATTACTGCCCAGAGGGAGTGTGGCCTTCCTATAGCCTCATGCTGACCCCTGGGCTTCTTGCCAAGAGAGATACAACCGTAGCTGAGGACAAGCCCCTTCGTGCATGAAGTCTAGAATGGCTGGGAGCTTGTCCCTGCATCTGCCATGAAGAGTCTGCAGAAAGAGCCTTCATGAGAGACTGCCAACACTCCGCCCACATCTCATCCTGGGATCCCGTGAGGTGACGTGGTCCTCACCCCTGGGATCCCATGTATTCTGTGTGGTGGTAGCGGTGTCACTTGTGGCCCTCAGGTGAGGGAGTGAGGCCTGGGAAAGGGTAGGTTATACTGACTCAAGGCAGCTGACTGAAGGTATTGGTACAAAGTACTGTTGTTGGCAATTCCTCATTAGAGGGACCAGGACAGTGGCCAAGAGAGCTGAGCCAGCCTCAGGAGGGTGGCCCTTCCCTGGCCTGCACTCCTGGCCTGTGGACTGGGCTGTCCCGGGGTGTTTGAACCTCCTGTGGCCTTCGTTGCTGTTCTAAGGCAACCGTGTTGTCATGGAGCTGCAGTGTGATGCCATGTGACCCTGTTCGCCCGCCCATGTGACAGGCTGGGTCTGCGGCCGTATGAAGACTGGGTCCTCAGTCCCCTCCAGCTCCCAGGAATGAGTTGTAGTTGTCAGGGGCTTTAGTGTCATCCGAACTCATAGCAACCCTGTGTACAAAGGAAGGAAGCACTCCGTGGGCAGTTTGCATCTTCACAGTCATTGCAGCTTGGTCTTCCTCTGTTGTTGACTCGACTTTACGAGGTCGGTCCAGGCAGCAGGTACGAAATCTGTGAGATGAAATCTAACCACCCTCGCTTTGAGTGAGCAACCGGCCAGTGCTTCTTCCGAGAAAGAGTGGTTTCCTCTTTTGACAGTACGTGCTGTAGTCCATATTCTTCGCCTACCGTAATTCCAGTACATTAATTTCTTATCTTAGTCATTGTCTCTGGTGTGGCGCTGTATGTATAAGCACTGGATCTTGGACAGGCTAGGAGTTGGAGCCGACTTGGTGGCACACAACAACAGTCTCCATGCTTACGAGGTAATTGAAAATACCATGGCTTGGGCCAGGTCACCTTAGTCCTCAAGCTGACATCTCTGCTCCTTGAAGAGGTCTTTTGCAGCTGATTTTCTTAATGCAATATTTCCTTTGATGCTTGACTACTGCTTCTGTAGGTGTTGGTTGTAGATTTAAGTAAAATGAAATCCGTGACGACTAAAATCTTTTCTCCATTGATCATGCTGCTGCTAATGGTTCGGTTGTGTGGATTTTTGTTTTCATTAGGTTGAGATAGGATTCATACTGAAGGCTGTAGTCTTTATTTTTCATCAGTAAATATTTCAGGTGGAGTCCTGGTGTGATGCAGTGGGGACAAAGCTCTGGACTGCACAGTTGGTTTCAACCACAAGGCCAGAGGTTCACCAGCCGCTCCTTGGAAACCCTATACAGGCTCGCTGTGAGGCAGAACTGATTCCATGGCCCTTAACAACAACAACAACAATGCAAGGTTGTGGCATTTTCACATCATAGGTTGTCTTCCTTCAGTCTTGATGTCCTGTTCTTCAGATGATTCTTGTCAACTGCTGAGTAGTTCCATTGAGTCACTTTTGAGGTTTGGACTCATAGCGACCCTCTATAGGGTTTCTGAGGAGTGGCTGGTGGTTTGAACCACCAACCTAGACACATGTCAGCTTTCATAGCTGAGTCACAGGTCTATGAGGGAGCTTCAGAAAATTCCATTTTCCCCATGAACATTTTGAAGCTCTTCATGTATGTATGTATGTTTGTATGTACACACACACATGTATATGTATATATATATTGTGTGTGTGTGTGTGTATATATATATATATAAAATGTACATAGACACACAATATATGTATATATGTGTGTGTGTCAGAATTAACTCAACTGCATTTAACAACAACAACACAGCTAATATCATCCCGGAGCACCCTGGGTGGAGTGAATGGTTAACATGCTGGGCCCACATCATCATGGAGTCCTTAGGTAGAGTAAATGGTTAACCTGCGGTTATCTGAAAGGCTGCAGGTGTGAGACCACCCAGAGATGCTTCAACTGAGGATCCACTTCGGAACAGCCAGACTCTGAAGCCCTAGAGAGCGCAGCGCTTTTCCCATGTGCCTGGGCTTGCTGCGTGTTGGAGTGGATGTGACCATAACTGGCTTTTAACAGCAGACAGAAAGCATTTGCCTCTGTCTACCTTCTATCCACTCCTGCTCAGTATTGTAGTGAAGATTGTACAAGGAGAAATAGAAGTCACACAGACTGGAAAAGAAAAAAGAAAACCCTTATTCACAGAAGACGTGATTGACTATGTAGAAAATTATGAAAAGCCACAGAAACCTTATTTGTCAGTAAATGTATTCCATTTGTAACATACAAGGTCAGTATAGAAAGCTTTCTAACAGTTTGGTGGTGGTGGTGCTGCGTCGTCAGTTTCACGTCCTATGGACTGGATCCATAATAGAACAAAATGCTGCCCTCCCCCCTCATAGTTGCTGTGATGTTTGAGCCCACTGTTGCTGTCAGTCCATCGCATTGGGGGGGTCTTCCTGTTTTTCTTTGATCCTCTACTGTACCAACCATGATGTCCTCTTCCAGGGACTGATCCCGCCTGACATGTCCAAAGTACCAGAGACAGAGTCTCTCCATGATCACTTCAAAGGAGCATTCTGGCTTCATTTCTTCCAAGACAGATTTATTTATTCTTCTGGCAGTGCACGGCATTTTCGGCATTTTCGTTACTCTTTGCCAACATCGCAATTCAAATGCATCTGTTCTTCTGTGGTCTTCCTTATTCGTTAGTGTTCAGCTTTCACATGCATATGAGGCAGTTGGAACTGTCATGGTTTGGGTCAGGCGAACTTAGGCCTCAAACTGACACCTTTGCTCTGTAACACTTTAAAGAGAGGTTTCGCAGCAGATTTCCCCTAATGCAGTTCGTCTTTTGATTTCCCGACTATTGCTTCCATGGGTGTTGATTCAAGAAAAAAGAAGTCTTTGATAACTTCTATCTTTTCTGTTTATCATGATGTTATTTATTGGTCTAATTGTGAGAATTTTTGTTTTCTTTACATTGTGGGGCAATCCATACTGGGGGGCTGTAGTCTTTGATCTTTTTCAGTAACTATTTCAGTCTTCTTGCTTCCAGCAAGCAAAGTTGTGTCATCTGCTTGTTGCGTGTTGTTAATGAGTCTTCCTCCAGTCCTGGTGCTGTGTATTTCAGCTTCTCAAATTAGTTGCTCAGCGTACAGATTGAATAAATATGGTGTAGGACCCTGCCTCACACCTCTTCCGACTTTAGGCCATTCAGTATTCCTATGTTCTGTGTAGGTTCCTCATGAGCACAGTGAAGCGTTCGGGAAAACCCATTCTATGCAGGGTCATTAGTAGTTTGCTACGATCCACACAGTCAAATGCCTTCGCATAATCAATAAAGCACTAGTAAACATCTTTCTGGTATTCTCTGGTTTTAGCCCAAATCTAACATCAGTGATGTCCTTCATTCCACGTGTTCAGCTGAATCCGGCTCCAATTTCTGGCAGCTCCCAGTTCAAGTGTCATTTTTGACTTATCGTCAGCAAAATTTTACTTGCATGTGGTATTAATGACATTGTTGGATGATTTTCAAATCCTGTTGGGTCACATTTCTTTGGAATGGGCACAAATATGACTGTCTTCCAATCGGTTGGCCAGCTAGCAGTTTTCCAAGTTTCTTGGCATAGATGAGTGAGTGCCTCCAAGGTCGCCTCAGTTTGTTGAAGCATTTCAATTTGTATTCTGTTAACAAGGGAAACTTTTTTTCTGTCAATGCCTTCAGTGAAGCTTGGACTTCTTCCTTTAATACCTTGGTTCATGACCATATGCTGTCTTTTGAAGTGGTTGAGAACTGACCAGTAATTTTTGGTACAGTGACTCTATATCCCTTCCTTCTTCTATTGATGCTTCCTGCATTCAGTACTTTGCCTGTAGACCCCTTCAATATTACAACCCTTGACTTGAATTATTTCTTCAGTTCCTTCAGCTTGAAAATACTGAGCATATCTTCCCTTTTTGTTTTATGACTCCAGGTCTTTGC